CAGCACTTCGGCCCTTCCAATGCCACAAAAATGTACCGTCACGAACGTACCCGGAGCCTACTACTACTACTACTACTACTACTACTACTCCTACTACTACTACTACTACTCCTACTACTGCTGCTGCTGCTGCTGCTGCTGCTGCTACTAATCCTCCTCCTACTCCTTCTTTTCCTCCTGCTGCTGCTGCTGCTACTGCTACTGCTACTGCGACTGCGACTGCTACTGCTACTGCTACTGCTACTGCTACTACTACTCCTCCTCCTCCTCCTTCTCCTCCTGCTGCTATTACTACTGCTGCTCTACTACTACTGCTACTAGTAGGAGTTGCTACTGCAACTACTGCTACTGCCGCTACCTACCGCTGCTGCTACCCCCTACTGTACCACCACCACTACCACTCACCAGAGCGAACATGTTATTGCGCTTGAGCTTCACGATGCCCCTTGGTCCCAGGATAGGTGAATTTGCGTCCCTCCTTCCGGCGTCGTAGTCATTGTGCTCACGGTCAGGGTCTGAAGTTTAGCATAGACGCGCTCAAATCTGAATCAATCTCAAAGCGTGATCTGGCGTGCTAAAAGTACTCTTCCGAGCCTTGAGAATCCAAGTGGGGCGAAGCATTGCTTACATACCCAAGAGTACTTTGACATCGGTGTTCCAGGCTCCAGCTCAAGCAAATCAATAGCTTCGCAAACCCCATAGAAGCCCCGCATGTTGGGGTGCTATGCTCATTGGATAGCATATTCTAAACTGCAAGCCGATCCCCGAACAATTGCTAAGCAAATTCGTTCCCACTTCTACAGACAGACATGTCTACACATATGTATATATGTGTATGTATGTATATATATATATACGTATACACATACGTGTGTGAGAACCAGGTAAGGTACCCGTCGAGTGAAAGGTTGGAGGCCTTACTGGACAAGAGCCCGATGCGCCCACATGCGTTGAACTCCCGGGACGAAAAGTGTACTTGCGCCCTGAATATCTTCAAAACATGCAGGCTCTACTGCTCTGCTCTTAGGGCAAGACGCGCGCATGACGAAGCCATACCTCGACATGGGTTGCGGGCTGCTGAGAACCCAAAGAATCCCTGGACCGAGGAGGAGGAGGAACACTTCACTCTCGCTTCAGTTCTATATGGCTGGTGGTCAGGTGCTCCGTGCAAACGGACTGACACAAAGCTTGGCAAACGGCGCAGCGGGGGAATCAGTCTGAGTCACTATTTTGTGCCCTGTGCAAGTCCAAGTTCGGCCAATTCTACTAGCGGTCTTCCCTGCCCTAAAATTGACTGTGGAACCTGACAGGGAGGTGTTGGCGATGGAAATCACAAGGAAGCCTGGCATCCCTCGAAACAAATGTAAGCTGCTTTGGCTCAACTGGGGAGTTGTTGGACTGCCTGGACAACGTCCCGCGGAACAGTCAACAAGCCAGTGGAGGCCCATTGGCCTCATGAAATTTCATTGGACACGATGAACGTGACACTACCCGCGATTGCCAGGCAGGCGCCATTTGGTCGTGCACCTGTGAACACTGCATCTCATGCAGGGCACTCGACCGTTAAACAGGTTTTGGAAGTTTCAAGGATACACAGCAGCCGGTCTTTAGGCTCCTGTAGTACGCCAATCACCCGGGTCTGTTGTTACGGCCGAGGCTTCCGCAGTCGCACCCCAAGTTTCTTGGGGCGTGCCAAAGAGGTTGCCGGCTCCCTTGCTGGCCTCGGGTGGATGGCTGGCTGCGGCTGCGGAAGACTTTCGGAGACCCTTGCCAACAAGGCATAGCAGCCCGAGGATCGCAATAAAAACGGAGATGTAGATTGTGCCACTCAGATCATCTGCCGTGATGCCGCCCCCGGAACTTTGGACAGCCGTGTCGCAGCGCGACACCGGGAATTCATCCTTGTTCAACTTGTTCTCCTTCATCTCTTCCAGCAGACCTCCTGTCAGTCCCGTTGTAAATGCCCAGGACATACTGTGCGAAATCCGATCACTCACTGGAAAGGAAAGCGGCACGCTCCAGAGCAGTTCCCCGGTGCGAATCAGGTTGCAGTCATCCCGCTCGTTCCCCAAGTAATCGTAGTGACATCGCGCTACCTCCTCGCTAAGACCAGAACTGCAGTCTGCATCCTTGATGCCTCCCGCATACATGTAATCTATTAGGTCCTGCGTGAATACCATGGCCCCACACTTCCCTGCATGCATTAGTCGAGGGGAGTGCTCGACAAAACCAGTCTTTTCAAATTTTGCCAAGGGGTACATGCTCTCGAAGGTGGCGGACAACACTGTTGGTATGCAGATTGTCACCTCTTGGTCGATGGCCTCCTGGATGTCAGCAATGGTGCCAACATCGCTGCGTCGGATGACCAACATCGATGCGAGGCTAGCAGTGTAGCTTGCAAGCGTGACCAAAACAAAAAAGGCGAAAGCAACGCTAAAGAGCTGATGCGCCAGGCCCTTCTCAGACTCATGGCTGCTCGTGCCCAAAAGGAAGTCATGCCATACCTATACTGCTGCAGGGACTCAGACAATTTGTCTCTTGCAAGGCACATCAGCGGAGAAACACGTACAATGCATTGGTACCAGCCCCAGCATTTGCAAACCAATAGGGGCCATGGGTGTAGCCCATACTAGACGGTCAAAACTCAAAAATGCTCATGCAAAAGCGTTTATAAGTCCAGATACCTTGAATTGGAACTTCCCAAACTCCACCAAGCTCCATGAGATCCTGCCCCAGGGGTTACAGAAGAAGCCAGTTTCCCAAAGACGCACCAACCAAAGGAGCGCAGACATGCCTTGGATATGAAGGAAATCCCACAGCTGCCCTCTGGAATTGACCTGCAAGAATACCCATCCACTGAGAGGAACAAGAGCTGTTCCAACAAGACCGTGAAAGGGAAACAAATTAATTAACACTGAGCCCCATAACACCTAAATGAAATTTTCCCCAGCAATCGGCGCAGCTTTCAACTCTACATAAATATGAGAGCGAAACCCTACAGCGACAGGATGCTACTTTATTATCTCCAGCGCACAAATGGGTCTGCGTGGAAAGCGCCCGGAGCCCCACGACGATCTCCTCTTTCAATCTCTTAGATGAACGATCCCTAAGGCACACCTATATAATAATACACCTCAAGCCATGTAGACTGGCCCCTCCGAATCCCTCAAAGTCAACAAAAGGGCAAGCGAGGTCTGGAAGGAAAGACAATAGCTGGTGCCGTGGAACATAAGAAAAAAAAACACCCGAGAACCCTCACAATGATTCAACGAATCTCGTTGCAGCACTGAAGCTACTTGATCTGTTTGTCAAATGGAACTGGTCTAGCTTATCCAGATAGAATGGGTCACGCTCAGATTGGTTGAGTTCTGTCCCCCGCCTTCTGATGCAACCAGTCTAGCAGCTAGCAGGTCGACTTTGATAATCTCAGCCTAATTCACCTACTTACACCAAACCATCAGCATGCTTAGTTCAAGGAAGCTATGAACTAGTCGAATCCCACTTGCGTGATCAATCAAATTCATCATGGGGACCCCAAAAGAATAGAGGGAACCTCAAATTCGAGAAAGCCTCATAATGTGGTCAAGTTGCCACAAACGAAGGACAGGACGCTCAGCCAGGCGTCGCCCGTGAATGGTGAGAACGGCGCCTGTAATCGGGTCCAGAAGGTGATCTCATTCTTCTCCTTTGGCACCACCTGGGCAAATCTGGGCGGACAAGAAAACAGTCACAGCTCCTCAATTTGGGTGTGCTGGTGGAGCATGTGATATGCGGTTTTATGTGTTGTCTGTGCTGCTGGCCATTGGAAAATTGGTGAGTGTGTTATCGTTTTCCAAGTTTCGGGCTATGTGTTGAGTCATCGTTTTGGGATCAGCGTGCTATCGTTTTTCAATCAAAAACCCTCCGACGCAATTCCACTGTTCATCCTCTACATACCGATAAAAAAACTGTGCGCCACGTCAGGATCTCATGACCACGTTTCGAGCCCCATTGTATTGAACGGACCCCCCGCCCTCACTCTTTCCAAACCCCCGCCAAGTAGAAGTAGTCGTGCCGTATGGGTGGCACAAAGGTGGACAGCTGATTTCTCTCAGGCGTCAGCCACAGGTCAGCGATGCAAAGGTCAAAGTTCCCTATCGCCACGTCGTGAACGCAAGCTGTGTACGAACTGCTGAACACCTGCCGCGACTGTTCCGTGGCCCATCCAGGGATGATCCTCACGGTCGGCTCAGGGATGAACAGCTTGAGGGACTCTACGAAGAAGTCGTAGCTCGCGCCCCCATAGCCGCTGCTGCGCTCCACCACCCAGGGAGCCCAGGGAAACACAGCAATCTTAATGGAGTAACCACCTACACCTTCAGAGTGCCTGGAGCTGGAGTACACGTTCATGGAGCCACAGGTCTCGTAGCTGAAGGACATGTTTACAAGGCTGCTGGCTACTGCCCTGCGGGTGCGGCAGTGTGGCGAATCGTCACTGCCAGGCGTGGCTCCATCGGCTTTGCAAAGGTCTTCATGGAGAGGGCAAAACTTCATGTCCACGTAGCACCAGGTGTTCGTGCAGTGGGTGCCTGCGTTGGACTCGCAGCCAAACATGGACTCGTAAGCCCTGCACCCCATCGCGCCATACTCCGCAGAGAGTCCCAGGGAAAAGAGCTCGGACTGAAGCTGAACATAGACGTCGGAGTTGTTCAATACGCATGGGCATTCCGGAGCGCCTGTCGCCGTAGTGCCGATCGCGACGACCCGGAGCCACAGCACTAAGAAAAACAAGGCCCAAGCCCATCTCATGCTTGCACAAACGATGCAAGCACTTGGACCAGCACGAAGCAGAAGACAGAAGACACATACAACTCATGCCTGAAGCTCTGCACCCTTTCAGCTCTTTCTGTGAAGGCAAGGTTTTGGGTTTATCAGGGCTTCACAGCAATCAGTCAAATTCTTTTTGACTTGTTCAGAGCTTACGTTTGTGGCCCTTAACGAAAGTTCAAATAAACGAAGGTGATTGATGGGGATACCGGGCGGGCTTAGTGAGAACAGCAGGCGCCGATGATTTCTTAGTGAAGAAGTCATACATTGTGCCGTTTCTCAAATTAACGGCCACCCTTACTCAAACATACTCAGACTATCTTCATGCCTGAACCCTACACACTTGTTCAGTCCCTCGAGCCTCAGCTTCAGTCTGGGCCCTTAATCAGCCTCTCCAAGTGTACTTAACACAATTGCTACAAAAGGTGAACCTAACAAAACGAAACACAGCGCACACGCTAAAGCCCTGACCCTATGGTAAAGGCCCCAAACTGAAAGCCCGCGCATACGATTTACCTTGATAGAGTTGTCTCTCCCATGCTCTTCCGGGATCACCTCTGCTGCGCTTTGGCTGCTTCGAAGGCATCTGCCACGGATATCTGAGCTGCCAGGAGGAATTCTGAAGAGCTTTTATGCGGAGATCGCAATCTTGATGTTCAGGGCTTGCACCAGCCTGGTGTACCTACTGGCTCTTAAAAAAGCCGAAACGGTGTAATTACCGATGGCTACATCGCGGGAACATTTGACTTCGTTTCTCAGGGCTATTTTTCGGTGTGGTGTTTGGGTTTTGGCTTGCTGCGATAACGCATCCTAAACAAAGAGCTTGAGATTTTTCGAAGAAGCCCTGCGAAAAAGTTCTGATCTGACGCAAGCCATTCCCTAACATCGGCCTTGCGGGTGACATGCAAGCAGCGCAAAGGGTTGACTGGAGTCAACTTTACAGCTGGCTCAACAATTTTCCAATAGGTCGTGAAACTAACAGCTCTGCTGTAGGCAGAAACATAATTGAAAGGCTATATACGGAACACTATCGTGACTTTGTAATCGCTGAAGACAATCAACGCACAAACGGCAATCATCCCACGCCGTGACAAAATCCAAGAGCAACTTGAGCCGCTGACAACCAGTTCGTCACTCTCGGAAGAATCGCCTGGCAATGTCGCAATATGTGGACTTTCAGCTCCCATCCAGAGTTGCCGCAGACTTCGAAAACATGAGATTCGATTGCGTAATTACCACCAAGAAGGCTCATCAGCAGCGCGGGAAACATACATCTCGCACAGGCTCATGTACCACCTTTCCCATTAGGCCCTGACCTTGCTCAAAATGGTGTTCTCTTTAGCTGGAAGATGCCATTTTCCATTTTTTAGGCCTGATGGGCCCGTGTTTTATCAGCTTCCCATGGGATGCTTCTGGGACCTGGCACATGCTCATCCCACGCTGAGGCACACAGCAACTTGATAAGCACCCTATTCAAGGCCTGCGTTGCTACAACAAAAATCTGGCTACAAATTGATAGGACTGGATAAGGGATGCTGCATGTTATTCTCAATGCTTTCCATTCTCAAGCGATTCTTCTTCCTGCGTCCGGGCACGTGTACCACACGCACTACTGGACCACTACAGCTGCCATGTGCCACCCCTGCAACGACGACTACTAGCATGTCTGTCAGCACTACCGTTACCATGACGCTGCCCTACAAACAGTAACAACGGCGACGACGCTAGTTAACTCTCTCCAACCAATTACAGCAAGGCACTTTAGGCTACATACTCCTCCTGCACCCATTGCAGCCCAGCAATGGCTCGAAACCCTGCTGTGGATCTCTAAATCAGGATCCTTACCAAAACACAACGCGAGCGTGGACAAGCCTTCCTCCTGAAGTTCGGAGTCGCCGGCCCTGTTTCGTAGTTGGGAAGTTGGCGGCTTTTACTGTCTTAAGTTTTAAGGCTGTATGAAATGCAGTGTTACAAGCCATCTGGGGTGTTGTTCACATGTTCCATCCTCCCAGAATAGTCTTTCGCAGAAATCCAAAAATTCACACAAAAAATCTTCGCAGACTTTCTTGGTGGCAGGCAGATTGGAACAACACAAGCCCTGATCGAACTTCCAGACTCAGAGCTAGCGCAACCGGTCCACGGAAGGTTCGAGGCCCTCACTTGAGTTTCACACTGTTGGCTTATCTCACCAGCTTTCTGTGGCTGCGCTCGTGTTCCACAACGGCTGATTTCTTGTACCACAAAGTTTCCATTTCATTTTGCTTGACCCGAAATGTTGTTCGAAAGGGGCTGCTAAGCGGAGGGGTTTACAACTGCAGCACCGAGAGTATCACCACCGTTGCTGCTACTGCTCGTCCTGCGACTATTGTTCCGAAGACTGAGACAACTCGCTCTTCCATTGTGCTCACATTTTGTCTGGGCATGGATCGTCAAACCGCCGGCTATACTGAACAATCCCATAGTTGTAGTGACACACAAAACCACACCATGGTTTTGACCCCGTCCCATGGTTTGCAGCCATATCTTTAAGACCCCTGCATACAATGAAGGAACCATCGTTTCGAGAAATGCCTACTGCGATCGCTGCAAAATGCCGATCACATCTAATTCTATACACGAGAACTTTCAGCCTGGAAGTATTGTGAAGTTTTCTGGCCTTGCTGTGAGAATCCCGCCGGTGACAAAGTCACGAAGCCACCCTTCCGAGGCCTGTGAGATGGCAGGCATGTTATCAGGATTCGGTTCACATGATCTGCGTCATTCCCATCTGTAATTCTGTAATTCGGGTTCTGCTTTGACCCCACTACCTGACTTTCCCTAGTCATGCGGCCGTGAGCGGATGATCAGCCGATGAGCTGGGGGTTTCAATCCATCTGTGATGTAGAAGAGGCTGGGGGAAGGTTGCCCTACATTCTACATGATTCGCTGCGATGAAGTACATTGGGACTACTGGGTATGACTCCGGCCTGTAGGATGCCTGTAGAAAATGCATGTTCAACAGCCAACAGAAAAAGCAAAACTCCAAACCACCATGCAGATCATGTGAAGGTCACGCGGGAAGGGGCTAAGGTTTCGCTTTTCGTTGTCTTGCCCAGGTGTAGCCGCATGCCTCCCCTGCTATGGTGAGGAATGAAAAGCTATTGGGGAGCCACTCATCTGCCCCTCTCGTTGTGGCTGGAATATCTTTATTCCATCCAAGCCACTTGTAGGCATTGTCATTGGTGACAGCAAAAAGGGAAGGAACCCT